TTGCCTTGAAAATATGTTTGTTTGTACTAATTTTATTACAATTTTTGTACTTTTTGATGTAAGAATATTTATAAATTTCATATGTAATTACACTTGTATTTGCAAATAAAATTCTCTATTTAACTGGCTGTGCACCTGGTGTACATTTTGCATTGACTTCATGTTTTGATAACCCCCTTGAGGGAAAGTAATATTATCTATCCCAGCCCAGAGTTTCCAATAATGACTTTCTTCTAGTTTTCTTTGGTGACAGTTTGGTTGCCCAAGGTGATTTGTTTCTTCTGCAGGAGGAGATTGTAGTATCACAGACTTCCAGGTTCTAATGTCTCTCACTGGCCGCTTTCAGTTTTACACTTGCCCTACTTAATTGAGTCCCACTCGGGCAAAGCCAGTAAAAATTTTCATCCCCTTCCTATCTTTGTCAGCTCTGCTGAGAATGGTGTTCCTCCAATCGTGTTTTTTTTTCTTTGTACATTGTTGATTTTCAACTCTACCTTTCTCTATTTTTAAGTACTACTTGAAACTCCATCCCACCCCCTTACAATTGTGGTCTGTTGTGATCCCAGTTACTGCTGGCAAATCACAGCCCAAAATGAAGTCTAGCTTGATAGATCGTTTAAGTTCCTTTTTAATTTGATGTGGCAGACTTTCACTTAAACACAAGCACATCAGGTTGCAGATTTGGTATTAATAATAAAATGTTCTTGTGCGAAAGAAAAATAAAATAAACCAAGCTACCTACTTTTGTTCATTTGTCGGGATGAGGATGTTGCTAGCTAGGCCAGGATTATTTGCCCAATCACCAATTGCTCAGATGGTAGTTAAGAGTTAACCATGGTGCTGTGGGTCTGGAGTCGCATGTAGGCCAGACCAGGTAAGGATAGCAGATTTTTCCTTACCTAAAGTACGTTAGTGAACCAGATGGTTTTTCTGATAATTGGCAATGGATTCTGGTCATCACTTAGCCCCTTAATTCCAGGTTTCTTTTTCCATTGAATTCAAATTCCACGATCTGCTGTGGTGGGATTTGAAACCAGGCCCAAAGAATGTTCCCCAAGTCTCTGGATTAATAGTAGACTGATAATACCACCAGGCCATTGCTCCCAACCCCAAAAAAAAGTTTAAAAGACTTTAAACGCCTGGAAAAATAAACTTATCTGCTCCAACAACAATTTTAGTTAATCAAAATCAAGAGAAATTTTCTGTCTCTACAAATCTCTGACTTGACATTTCTTTTCTCCCCTCCAATCCTGACCCTTGAAGTCTCTTCCATGAATTTCTCAGCTGAGATCTTGGACACTGCTTTGATTAACAATGCAAATTTCTAACCAGACGTTCCAGTTTGGAAGTTTTCACAAATTGAAACCCTTAGGGTGAGGTAACTTATTCCCTTAACTGCTCTGAACAAACTCTTTTGTCTAGGAGAAACTTTCTGCAGCTGACTTCAGTCAGGTCTCCTTTTAAAACCGAAATAAAAAGCATTAATATAATCTTGCTCATCCCAGTTTCTAAGATAATAATGTCTTTTCTGCCTCCTTCTGTGCACCCCACAATTTAAATAAACTTCCATTAACACTCGTGGAAGCCTTCCGTCATCTGCTGTCTGACACGTACTGGTTTAAAACTAGTTAAAGGACTGACCTAGTTGAGAATTAATTTTACTAGTTTAAAATCCAAACTTTTGAAAAAAATGAATAAGTCACACCCTTCATTACAAGTATCAAATTTTGTCTGAGAACAGTACAATAAAATGCCTTGAGACATACTTATTTTGATTAGAAAATGCAAATTGTTCAAAGAAATTAGTGAATAAAATGCACAGCTTTGCCATTAATGGGCTCTGCATGTAAATTGAACAATTGGAAACATGGGTGATTTAATTGTGCTTAATAGATGAAAATTGCCATAGGTGACTCGTTTTGGGGAAAAGCTGTTTGATTGTATGTGATTGTCAGTTGGAGACAGAGGGCTGTAGTAGATGGATTGCTCAAACTCGGACAGTCGGTATGCTGTAAGGATCAGTGAGTCCACTGTTGTTTGTCACTTATATAAATGATTTGGATGAGCATATAGGAGGCATGGTTAGTAAGCTTGCACGTAACACCAAAATTTGCAGTTTACCGCATAGTGAAGAATTTTATCTAAGACTACAACAGGATATTGATCAAGTGAGTCAAGGAATGGAAGATGAAGTTTTATTCAGATAAATGTGAGGTGTTGCATTTTGGAAAGACTAACCAGGGCAGGAATTACACAGTTAATGATAGGGCCCTAGGGAATGTTGTCAAACAGAGACCTAGGGGTCCAGGTACATAGCTTCTTGAAAGTGGAGTCACAAGCAGACAAGGTGGTGAAGGTGTTTTGGTAAACTTGTTTATTGGTCAGAGCATTGAATACACAAGTTGGGAGGTCTCATTATAGCTGTAAGATGTTGGTAAAGTCACCCTGCAATTTGGAATAATGTGATTAAACTAAAGGGTTCAAAAAAAGATTTACAAGGATGTTACCAAGACTAGAAGGGCTTGAGTTATAAGGAAAGGTTAGATAGGCTGAGACATTTTTTCCCTGGATCGTAGGAGGTTGAGAGGTGACCTTTATTCAAGTTTATAAAATCATGAGGGGTATAAATGAGGTAAATAGTCAAGGTCTTTTCTTTAGGGGGCTCCAAAATTAGGGGGCATAGATTTAAGGTGGGAGGAAAGATTTAAAAGGGACACTTTTTCATGCAGAGGGTGATGTGTAAATGGAATGAACTGCCAGAGGAAGTGGTAGAGGTGTGCACAATTATAACATTAAAAAGGTATCTGGATGGGTATACGAGTAGGAAAGGTTTAAAGGGATATGGGCCAAACCCTGGCGAATGGGACGAGTTCAGTTTTGGAAATCTGGTTGGCATAGACAAGGACTTTTCTGTGCTATATGACTCTAAATGCACATCTTTTGTCATTATCCAACTATACATTTGAAGTTGCAAACTGAACAATTGTATTGTCACTTAGTGTCCTCATTCCATTACCTTTGGGAACTGTCAAAATTAAGCCTGATCAAATATATCACAGCATATGTTGCTAGTTTAAAAAGCTCCAGCTTTGTGGCCCAGTTCTTTGGCTAATTGAAGACAATCAATTTCAGCTAAATCAGTGCTGGGCTGGTGTCAACCAGAAACACACTCTTGTGAAAAGCTGGATGCACCATCAGTTTTGCAATCTGTTGATCCACTTGTATATAGTTACCCAAGTACAATTTTTGCCAGCTGATATACTGGGTGGTTTTTGGGTTGGGCTCTTAGCTTCAGTGTCCCAGGCCAGGCAACATCAAATTAGTTTTGTTTGGGCTTCTGCTGTCTATCCAGTAACCCCCTGGAAAATAGGATGGGGATACTATGGTCAAACATCCACTTTGTAAGATTTAGGCTCATTGATAGTACTTTTAAGGATCACTGCTGAGTAAATTCTAACATCACTGCCTTCAAGAATGGGAAGAACAACAAATTGGATTGTTCTCTAAATAATTGATTGCCTGCTTTCCCTTACACGATGAGAACTTAATGGAGCATTTTAAATTGGCACATTTGTTCACTGGATTTTGTTCGCTTCAAAATCCAGATATTTAGATAATGTTACTTAGTCAGTCTTTATTGCTCAGTCATTGTCCTACAAAATTATTACATTGTTTGTGACATCTTGTGTACAAATTGGCTGCAGCTTTTCCTTCAATGCACAGTGAATATGCTTAAAAAATATACTGAATTGATTTGGGATATATGCAGCTGTGGCTGAAGTAATGTAGACATGACCTGATTTTTTTCCAAGGGCTAGATAATAGTTTCTGAAGTATTTGGGAGTTTTGTAAAGGGACCCTGTGGAATCCAAAGCTTAGCAGATGGCAGGAATTGCCTGGGAAATTCCCCTGTGCCTGGACCCTTCTGATACTGTCTATTTAAATTGGAGAATTTGGAGGGCTCCACTGCAGTTAAATAAATAATCTAACTTGAGTGTTAAATGCCAAAATGAACTCCTGCGTAACTGTTCAAATACAATAACTGATTGCTGTGGAAAACGGGGTGTCATTCCCCCCTCTTCTGTGCTACAAGGGCCCTGTCAGAATGGAAGTACGGCTCTATTTCTGACAGAGCCCTGAGTAGAATCTCCTGTGAGACACGTGTAGCTCCTTTTTTGTTGCATGAAAGTCTGAGAGAGTTTGGTATTTTCTGGCCCAGATTAACAATTTATTTAGTATTTTGTTGATCACATTTTCGAGACGGAATACTGGATGAAGATTAAAAGTAAACGTGATTTTTGAGCTATATAAACCATAATTAGCCATTCATGAATCAATTTAGATCCTGAGGAGTCTTGACCAGGTAAATATGAAGAGGATGCTTCCTCTTATGGGACACACCAGAAATAGGGTTCACGAGTTTTTTTTTGGGAACTCTCCCTGAAAAGCTGGTGGAAACAAAGTCTGAATGTCTGAGACAGAGGTTCTCGGTAAGAAGAGGAGTGAAAGGTTATCAGGAGTAGGCATGATTGTGAATTTAAGCTTGCAATCTGATTAACCGTGGTCTTATTAAATAGCAGAGCAGGCTCAAGGGGCCGAGTGGCCTTCTGCTTTTGTTGATTCTGTATATAACTAACTAACCAACCGCACAACCTGCTTATGGAACAGTGTAAATTAATCTTTACTCTCTCTGATTAATGGTGTTTGCAGGGAAAGATATGCTGAAAAGAACTTTAGATCAAAAGCTTGCAGAGCACAAAATTGACAAATATTTAATATTTGGGAAGTGCCTTTTCGTTAATTGATAGCCTGATCTTTAAGTTGATCCAGATCTCACTTTGTTTTCTGTCTCTCGATGTCTTTTTGTTTGCGAAATTAGATGAATCCGGGATTGTTAACCATGTACCTGTGTTTCGGAGCCATTGGGATTGACTGAAATGGAGAGTTTTCATTTGGGGATGTTCCCTAAACTGGTCCCTACGTGAGGAGGAGCAACTGTTCCAATTGGCCCACTAAAATCACATGGCGTAGTGTTTCTCGGATGTTACTGTCAGTATTGAGTGAGAGCAGCAGAGACAGAGCAAGATGAGTGTGAAATTGTATTACACCACTGTGACCGGCTCTAGGGAGGTGAGTGTGTACCAAGGACGGAAGGGGCTGAAGCAAGGGGTAAGGGGATGCAGAGATCCTGCCGAGCATTGTTTCGGAATAGAGGGGCTGAGAAACTGACACACCCGGTTGTTGGAAACCGAGTAGCGGTAATGCAACATTGTTAACCGCAACCTTATAGTTTACAGATATACAGTAACCGAGCAAGAAACGGCCTTAAAGACAAGGTATGGGCAATCTGGAGGCAATTTGTGCCATATCATCGAATAACGAGGCTGAAGCAACGCCACCCATTTATGATTTCATCCAAAAACAATTTTGAAACCAATATTGTAATTCTGCTGTTAGTTTTGCCCTACCCTATTCCTGTATTCTTTCTGTCATACCAACAGGACCTACTCCTCTGAATATTCCTCGACATCTGCTCCATTAGTGTTTCAGCTGGTGCAAACCACGGCTTTGCTTCTACTCTCCTTTCTCATAATAATAGCTTTGGTGGGTGGGGGGAAGCGTTATCTTGGAGAGTTCTCCTGATTATCTCCCTCGCCCCAATAAGCTATTGTGTGGCACTTGCTAGATGTGAGATCAAGCTAGGAATCTTCGGTTTTTTTTAACATGTAGAATTTTGACTAAATCAGCCAGTACCACCGGGACCATAACTAAATCAGGACTAGACTGACTCATTAATGAGCCTTAATGGAATTTAATGTTGACTATTATTCAGGTCATTTTTCAAGGATTGTATTTTTTTTTGACTGGGAATTGTGAACACCAGCCTAGTTTTCTCTTTCTGTGATGCCTTCAGAAAGTGGCAGAAGTTGTGGTTAATGTGATTTGATGAATCCTTTGCATTTTAGAAATCCTTGCCATGAATAACAAGCATGCTTTACCAGTGGACAGTGAGCCACATTCGGGCAGATAAGAACTAATTTCTCTGTTGCTTGTGCAAATAAGCTAACATTTCGACACGTGCATTAGGTGAAATTATATGTATTAAAATATCCCAAGGCATTCTCTAACAAAACCTGTGTATTAGATATATAAGGGAGATATTTGGACAAATGATCCAAAGTTTTGTCAAAGTGAGGTTTTATGGAGCTCCTTAAAGGAGGATAGAGATAAAGAGAGAATCCCAGAGCTTTCAGCTTAGGTGGCTAAAGATATAGCCACCAATGATGGAATGATTAAAATTTGGGATGTGCAAGAGATTGAAATTTGAGCAATACAGACATGAGGGTTACAAGACAGAAGAAAGAGATTTGAAAGCAAGAATGGGAATTTTAAGACCAACACATTTCTGGGCCAGGAGCAAATGTAGTTCAGTGAGGTGATGGGAGAATCTGGACTCTCTTATTTCAAGGCAAGTATGACATTGTTTCAGAAATTTGCTGCAAATTGGTCAATTTCAAAGATGATCCCAAATGAATGAGTTTGTGGGACAGTTGCAGAGGGAACGGTAGGGTGTTGAAAATAGGTTGAATTAAAAGATCCTACTAAATGATTATGTGGGTCATCCTGTTCAATTGTAACTTGGTTGGCAAAAAGCAGGAATGGAAGTCACCAATCCATGAAATTCAGAGAACTGAAGCCAAGAAATCTTAATGCAGAAGGTCATTCAGTCTATCGATTTTGGAATAATCAATCCTGCTCCCTTGCTCTTTCACCAAGCTGTGAAAAATGCCTCCATTTTGTACACTTCTCTTTATTCTCATGTTGAACCTTCTCTGATCAATGGAGATCAATTACAGCTTCTCTAGTCTCCATGAAACTGGCTGTCCTGAACCTTGCTATTATTTTGATGAATCTACTCTGTACTTTCTCGAACACATTAACATCTTTCTTAAACGTGGCTCCCAGAATGGGATGCACTGATCCAGTCAAAACTGAAACTAGTGTTTATACACGTTTATCATAATTTTCTTGCTTTTGTACTTTCTGCAATAATAGTAAAGCTTGGAGTTTAGTGACCTTATTGATTTGTCCTGCCATGTTCAAAGATTTGTGCAGTCAGCATTAGCAATTAATCAAAGAAAGATAAAAATGAGCCAATCAAACTACTCCATATTATGTGCTATCATTTTCTTTTAGCTTTTTTAAAATTTGGATGGACTGTTTTTTAAATCAAATAGTAAACCTTAAATTCCAATTTAGTTCATTGAATGGATCTGCTCTTGTTGAGATTTTGTCCAGAAGCCCAAACTATATTAGAAATGTGGAGCTCAAGCTTGACTTTGAAAGCATTTTGGATATGGCTGTATTTGGCCTCATGTGCAGCTCTGAGGAACAAGCAGGGCTGTGATTCTCTTTCAATTAAAACAAAAAGCTTTGTTTTTCCTCAATCAGTTCTGAGCTGCCTTCACCACGTCTGTGACCCTACCACAGCTAGGCTCGTTCACGACTTGTTGCAACTGATTCTCCCCAAACCTATTCCTTGCTGAAAGATTATGCTGGGCAGTAGTGCTTTATGATAGTTTTACAGATCTTAAACCAGAGAATGAGAATTCAAATTCCCTGATCGCAGTTTCTTAACTTTGTTTTTATTTCCAGACTATTTTAAAAACCATCTGCTTTTAGTAAAAGTGACCACAAAACTACCAGATTGCCATAAAAAACCAACTGGTTCATTAATGTTGTTTTACTAATGTTCTGAAAACCTGATATCCTTACCTGGCCAAGCTTTTATGTGACTCAAACTTTTCCCAGGTATTTTGCACCTTCAATTTGAAAATCCACCTGCCAATGTGTTGGAGAACTAAAAGATTCCTGAGAGACTGTTTTTCTAACTTATCCTTGCAGTGGACTGAGCAGCAGTGCTTTGACATATCGAAAGCTTGGTTACTGCTGACATCTCATTAAGTATTTAATCATCTGTATTCATTGGCCTCATAACTTCCAGTCATTTTATTTGAACTAAATAATCCTTGCTCCTTTTGAAATCACTGTTGGTACTTGTATAAATTACTTTGTAGTGACTCTTTCCTCTCTGTCTGTCTGTCTGTCTCTCTCTCTGTCTCTCTCTCTCTCTGTGTCTCTTCAGTGTGAAATGGGTGGGGATCTGTCAAACTCACCAGCCTCCTCTTCACTTTCTGCTTATCCAGGATGTTTGATTGTTTCAAACATTTTCTGTTTTACCATCTGTACGATTTTGGTGCCTGAAAGTTGGCTGGTGATCTAGTGGGGGTGGGGAAGGAGAATATGACCTTTGCCTCCCATTGCTGAGGTGCTGCTGTTTTTTCTGTTTCCCATCTAGAATCCCGTTTCGGCATAGGAGACCTCTAGGCTCGTTGCGCATTTGACTTTTGACTTTTTTTTGGTGCAGCAGACCAATAGTTCCGATCTCTACTTTCCCCATTGCCCTTCATACACTTCCTCTTATACAATCTTCTTTTGACTGTTTCTATCGAATCTGGTTTCTCCACCCTTTCAGCAACTCACTGCATAAAATAAAGTAATTCCCATCTGCCCAGGATTTTTTATTTTGAAAAAAGGACGCTCTGATTAAAACCAGAAACACAGGTTAATCGAATAATACTAGATATAGATAGGTTGTCTTGCCTTTACTATCTATGTTGGTTACAAGATCCGAGGAATCTGTCACTTCTGGGGCTAATTAGTCAATTTTTTTTTTGAGCTGTCCGAAAATCTGTAAACAGAAGGCAGAAAGTGTTCTTTTCCTGTCTCTCGCTTCCTCTTCCCCTCTCTCTCTGTCTCTTTCTCTGCTTCTCATGTCTGATTATGTGGAACACTTGTTAATTTAATGTTTTCAGTTACACTGTTCATCAGGTCAGTTTAAAGAAGATTAAATGGACAGATGGCGTCATTTTGCAGAAAACAGTTTCCTTTGGGGGAAGAGTCTAGAACAAAGGGGTGGGTCAAACATGTAAGTAGAGCTGGCCTGTTCACAGATCTCAAAGTACCACTTCACAGAAGGAATGGCGAAAATGCAGTCATTTCCTCTTAATACCAACAAGGTGAGCTGGAGAACCCAGACTATTATTTTCTCTGCTCCTTTACACTTATGATGTTACTTCTGATGTCTCAGACTCACTGCAATGCAAACCCAGCCAGTTTCTGCCTGCACCATCTACCTTGTACCTGTTCTGTGTCAATTTGGGTAGTTGTTGCAGAGGGAGCTGGTAGAGATACTCTGAGGGCTTGGAAAATCTGAGCTGATTTACTGGAAGTTCCAAAGAGAGTACAGTAGGGATTTTTTTTTTTTTTTAATGAAGCATTCTTTCTGGACCACAATAGTAAAAGATTCATGGAGGAGGAATAAATGGTCTTTGAAGTTTGTCATATCATGTTGATTGGAGGCATCAATGGAAGCATTGGGAGTACCACAAAGAGAGGCCTCAATGGGAGAAATGGGATTTTAGGTTATGACAGAGGGACTTCAGTGGTCTTTTTTAAAATTTCCTATAAGTTATTGATCCCCATCTAAACTCTTTAATTGGCACTGAGTGGGATGAGCAGAATGGTGAAGGCCATTAACCGATGAGGGTTCTGAGCCATGAGTTGAGCAGTTAAAGGACTGCATCAAGGCTAATTGTTACTCCATAAGATGCTGCCCTTAACCTCTGGATTCTTACTGTTGTGACAGGACAAAATAAGGGCAAGTTCTCCTGACTTCTAACAATGGGTTAGAAACTGTCCAAAGCAGTCACCAAACCATGAGGAATAAGCATTGATCATTGCAGGTCCTTTTTAAAGGCTTAGTTACTTAAGGTATTTACACAATGAAACTTGATGCATTTTATTGCCCTAACTTTGTTTTCTCATCATTTCCTTTGTCTTTCTTTCCTATCTAATCACTCGTTCTCTAAATATTTAAAAGTTTGCTACAGATGGTTCTGGAGCAGTGATCTTTGACTGAAGTTCTTGGTCTGTTCCTATCTGTTCATCTTGTTCCCTGATCTAAAGCTGAGAGTTTTGGCCTCCTGGGTACCTAATGGCAATAATAATTCTTTAAACTGCCTTGCCCGCCCAGGTATCGAGTCCAAGCGAGGCTGGAATGTGCTGTCTTATTTCACTGATGGCTAGAGAATTGTTCCGGAAACATCTGCAGGAGAGCAAGAATCCTGCCAGAGAAAATGCAAAAACAATCCAGGGGAGAAACCAGATTTCAGGCTAAGAGCAGCAGTGTGTAGGAAGTTGACTGTACACAGACTGTTGAAAGGTCTGAGACCAGATGTGCCCTCTCGCTCGCTCGCTCTCTCTCTCTCTCTCTCGCTCTCTCTCTCTCTTGCTTTACAGCCAGCTAATAACGAATGTTCCATTCTTCACATCATCTCGGACTAGAGTAAAGCTTTGCCGACTGCTGAAATGAGAGACATGCAGTCACCAGGCAGCACTGAGGCTGGGGACAGATGGAGAATCAGCACAGGGCTCGGTCAATGACATTGCCCAGTTGGGTGCCCTCTTGTGCTCTCCCTGTCTCAAGCTCAGAAGCTTTTCCAGTCTTGTATTCATGTAGCACCATAAACAGAGTAAAATGTCCCAAGGCACTGCACAGGAGTGTTACCGAAGTTTTAAAACTAAGCCACATATAAACCATTATGAATGTGGCCAAAAACGTGTGAATGTGGCGGGTTTTAAGAGTTTCTTGGAGGAAGAAGAATGGAGAGGTACAGTGGATTAAAAAGGGCATGCCAAAGTTTTAGGGCCTGCGCAGCTGAAGGTAAAACTTCGAATGGTGGAGCTGTTAATTGGAGAAACATAAGAGACTTAGGAAGGGAAAAGGGCTGGAGGAGAGGGCAGAAAAGGTGGGAGAGAAGATGGAAAGAATTGTGTCACTGTCACTCATGAAAAATTTCTGACTGGAGCTGGGGGGAAGGGGAGAGTTTTGTTTAGAGACTGACTAATTGCTCCTGTTTTGCTTATTTTGTTCAGGTGAAATCCCAGCAGGCAGAGGTGATGCGAGTCATGGACAGTAAAGGCATCACGTATGAAATGATTGACATCGCACAGAATAACTCTTTAAAGGAAGAGATGAGGACCAAGTCAGGAAATCCTAGAGCCTTGCCTCCTCAAATCTTCAATGGTGAACAGCACTGTGGGGTAAGACTGGTGCAACTTGTACTGCTCAGTGGTTTCATATCAGCCACAGTCACTGATGGTCCACAGCAAAATGTGGCATTTGGTGCCTTCCTCCAGTATCTTGTGTCCAAACGATTACCAGCCCAGACAGCAATAGTCATCAGAGATGAGTTTTCCAGGTAATATCCAGTCTTCACATGTAGGATCAGTGGGGACATTTGGAGTTTTGTCCAGCTAAATCTCTACCAAGAAGTCAGTTACTAATGGAGGGACCCATAGTGCCCACTGTGTGTGAGAATGAGGGAAGAGTGTTGAGGTGTGGGTATGAGTCGGGGTTGAGTGAGGTGAGCATGAGGAGTGAATTGGGGACACAGAATTTGTTTGGAGTACAGAGATGATTTGTATAACTGCAAATTCCATCCATCCTTGTGGCCCTTCCTTTTATTATAAAGGGAGGTTGAAGCCTATCTGGAACAAGTCAGAATGTTAGTTTGAATTGAGCAGCCTGTTTGCTTGGTGTCGTGTTGTTGACTCAGGAATTCAGGAACGGGGTGTTCTGGAGCCTGGGGTGGCTCAATACAAAATGACTGACTAAACAACAAGAGGATCACGTACCTTCATTAGTCTACACTGAAGCGTGGGGTGGAGTGGAGAGGAGGATTAGTAGGAGGGGTGAGGAATGCAGGTTCACACAGGTGAGGAGTGGGATTGGATGGGGGTCTGAAGTGAGTGGAGAGATCTCCATGCTAACGGTTGCGATTCGGGGTTAAGATAAGGATCCGAATTTGACCTGTGCACAATGGCACCTCTTGTCCCCTGTCTCTGTTGGTCTTTTTTTTATCTTACTCTTTACAGCTGGAAACTGAGAACTGATGGCAAGAATGCAATTTCTCTTTTCTTTTAAAAAGAGGAATCCCCTATTTCTGTTCCACAAGAACAACACATTTTTAGACAATACTGAAAATGTCTAATAGTGCTTCACATGAATATTACCAAACAGTGTGACGCCAGGTTTCATAAGGAGATGGTGGAACTGATGACCTAAGTTTAGTCAGGCAGGTTCTGAGGAATGTCTTAAAGCAGCACCTGGGGTGACACATCCACCCGTTTTACAGTGATTAAGATCGGGTGATACAGAAAGCCAGAATCGGATTAACACGGAGGTTTTGGAGGCTTGTGGGATTTTTAAAGGTAAGTTAGAGGATATAGGGAGGGCTGCAGTGAGACCATGGGCGATTTTGCAAACAAGAATGGGAACTTCAGAATGCAGATGCTGCCAGACTGGGAGCTGATGTAGGTCAGTGATCACTGGAGTGATGGGAGAACAGGGCTAGATGCAAGCAAGGATCTGGGCAGCAGGAGTTTGGCTGAGTTGAAGATTTATAGAAGGTGGAAGATGAGAAGGATGTCAATTGGGGAAACTACATGAGATGCAGAGTTGTGTGATGTTCCAACCTGGATGTGGGTTGTAGTTGAAAGCTCAAAGTAAAGGACACTGACTCTTGTTTCTCACAGGGTTACGAGGACTTTGTAGAGGCCGTGGAAACAACTGATGTGCGGAAGTTCCTGAAACTCGACTGAGATCATATTGGCGCCCGATTAGCCAGAGGCAGAGCGTGGAGGCTGCCTGAAGCAACTTGCTGCCCTGCGTGTGGATCCAGCTGTGTTAGTCTTTTAGAAACCATAACAGCTTCTCTGCCTCACTACTTTATTGGGAGCTTGCTGCCCATTCGCCAATTCTATTGTATTGTAAACTGCTAATGATTTAAAGATTAGTCATTCCGCAACTGAATTAAAACCAATCCATTCCTTGGGGTGAGGTTGCTGGCTGAAGGATACAAAGCCATGGAGCAGGGCAAGGGGAGGGGAAGGGAGGTTAGGGGAAGTTTGAGTGACTCGTAGCTCAGGCAAACCCAGTACCTTGGAAAGTCACTGCATGGGACCAATCCATAGATTGCATTTCTCATCTGTTCCTAGATATTTGTCCAACTCCTGAATGGAAAAAGCTCCACTTTGTTTTCAATTGGAATGTGCTGTTCTGGGTGGGTTCAATTCCTGGAGACTGGCCTCTTAATTAAACAAAGGGAAATTTGGTTCATTGAGTCTGGGGAAGGTAAAGGGTTCCTGGGTGATGAGAGGGGAGGAAGTCCAGGCTAGTGGAAAGAATGTTGTTTTCATTCTCTGTAGGGTGAGAGCAATTGTCGGAGTGAATCAACGATGTGATGATATTGAGACTAAAGGCACAAATTGGGAGGTTGTAGGGTGGTAACTGCCCTAAAGAAATGATCAAGTTTAGCACTGTCTTGTTACCATTTTAAACATGGTGATTAGCTCTGATAACCTGGCAGTTTGGGAGGACGTTACAGCATTGCGACCCCAGGCTGTGAAAAGCATCACCATCCTGTGATTAGGCAGTTTCATGGGACAGATGGGGTTTAAATTCTCCATACATTAGGGAAGTGGACATTGCCCCAGTATGCTAATGTTTCTATTGGGAGTACATTCCAGACTCAATGCATGGGTAGTTTGTGGATTGTAGCCACTTTGGGAATCCAGAGTCGTTATTACAGCCCTGAGTTTGTGCAATTGTCCCGCGTTCTTTTAGGATTTTGAGTGCCATTGGTTGGTAAACCAACAAACACGGTCCAAGACATTCAATTTTTATTTCCTTTTAAAAATGTACTATCTCTCAGATCTAGCAACACTCTGTCATTGAAAATACAGAATTCCTCTACCTCTAATTTGCCTGGTACTTTCTGTTATGCTCAGTGCTTTGACCAGCTCTATCTAAACAAAATTGGTGATTTATTGTTCTGGCTGATTGTCATGGCAGTGAAAGGGATACACAGAAATCATTCAGCAAATGCTTTGCTGTAATATATACTGCCTTTGTCTTTCCCTCTCTCTCGACTTTGTCTCCTTTTTAATTCTTGTCTTTTTCTTTCTTTATTATGTTTCTGATTTTCTCTCTCTCCTCCCCCGCCCCTTTTTACCTCTTCTCCACCCCCAAATTCTCCTACTTTGTTCCCAGTCTGGGCCAATTAGAAATTCTGTCAAAATATTTAATGATGTCTTCCAGGAAGATATGAAAATGTTTTGAGTCTTGCTGCTTTAACGTGTCTCTTGTGTGCTTATTTATTGACAACACCAGCTCCTCATTGATTCACAGATACGTACAGCAGATCAAGTGGAGAGGAAATGAATGAAGGACAAGCCAGCTGTGACAGTGTCTGTCTCCAGGATCAATGTCAATAGTGAGGGCTTGGGATGGAGCTGCTGAGTTTATACAGGAGGCTTTGACAATGCATACACAGTGAGACAGATCCAGGACAGCAAGTTGCAAGTGGGAGCAGATTGAGTGAGTTCTGAACCTGGGCATGTGTGTGAAATTATTAAGATGGAGGCTGTGCTGGGAAACCTGAAGGGAAATGGAAAATATGTTTAACGTGGGGGCTCTGGAAGGAAGAGAGATTCCAAACAGCTGTACGATTTGCAGCAACTGCTCAAGTTCTCCACCGGTCACTTTCTAGTCCAGTCACTTGTAGCTGTGACAAACCCTTGCATGTCGTCATCGTCATTGTAAATCTGAGGGGACTGGATAGTGGGACTAAGACTTGGTTTTGGCCTGGCTCTGATTCTAAGATTCTGCACCCCCCGAGCTTATGCTGAATTCTCCCATCTATTTCTTTCTTTTGGCCCTAGTATGTAATTCGGTGACAATTAGCAGTGAAGGATCCTGGCTGGTGGAGGAATGGGGAGCCATGTTTAACACTAGATCCCTAACTCACCTGGGAATTTCAAGGGGTCCTGTGTAGAATCCAGGGATGTACATGTTTGTGAGGTGGGGATGGACCAAGTTGGGGGAAATGTCGCTGACACCCAGGTCAGAGAATTTTACTTAACTTGGGATTTCAAAGTGGAGCCTTCGCTCACAGGGCTTGGGGCAATCCATCCCCTTAGGGAAACAGAGGGCAGGGCAAGGGGACTGTTAGGTGGGCAAACAATTCTCGGGCACCACGGATAGAATATCTTAGGTTTACGCCTCTGTGGCTCTGTGCAGATGGTTTCAGTTCCTGGTAAACAATCCGCTCTTCCTCAGATGCAAATTAAAGCCAGGCACTTGGCAGTTCTCCCACTTTCTCTGAATTGAATCATTGCCTCAGTGTTTCAACATAAACAAACAGAAATATATTTTATAGCAGGGGGACTGGATTCTTGGAAGTTGTTCAAGTGTTGAACAACAGAAAGTCCACAGTTCACTGATTAAGATGTATTTGTATTATTTTGCAATATCAGTTAAAGTAGAGAAAAGCCCCATTCTCTTCTTTGAAATAGAGATAATTTATACTAACTTGAGAGGCCAGATGGGTCTTCAGTTGAACTTCTCATCTAAACAATGCTGCACAATTCTGTACTGCAGCATGTGTCAGCCTGGACCTTGTGGTCACCTTTCTGGATTGAGGTTACCATTTGCCACCCAGACAAACACAACCCAGAGTCAGAGATGGCACCGCTTTCCAAAAATGATATTTTGTTGGTACCTCGGTCAGCAATCAATTTGGGAAAGGAGATACATGCCTAGATCCCTCCTTTCCCTGGCTCAGTTATGTCACTTTTGGCAGCGGAGCAAATTTGAACTTCTGCCTGTATGTTGTTGAGCATTTACATTTGATCCATGTGTTGGTTCAATCTGACAACAGTTTTACTCACTGCCCTTTTGCCATGAGCTGTGGACTGCAAATATTCAAAGCATTTCTGCCTCTTCAGGAGCCTGTAGGTCTTGTAGGAAGAGCAGAAATCAACTTGGTTGTGACCAGATGGAGCATCAAGAGTGGAGATCCCAAGAGCCCTTTCTTGGTTGAAATTACACGTCATTTGTAACTCAACACAGGGCTGGATATTAGCTGGGATGGAAAGGTTTTAATTATTGTGTCAGTAATAACTGTAATCTGGGGACAGAGAGGGATGCGGAGACTGAGAGCTTGGATTGTTTTGTGATTTTATAATTATGGTCCTGTTCTTTGCAGCTGTACAGATGGGGAATTTATCTAAGGCTCATTGCAAATCATTTTGCATGATTTTTATAAATTGGAGAATGAGAGCATGACTGATAAGTTTAGAATTTGTTCCCATCCCCAATTGTTCTGGAGTAGGCAGTGGAAACCACTGCCTTTAATTGTTGCTGCAGTCCATATGGTACACCGACAATGTGTTTTTAAAGCAATCCCCTCCCGTCCCGTTTCTCTGTCTTCTGTGATTATTTTTATTCACCTGGTTCAGACATGTTATGATACTCCTCCAGTGCAGGTGGGACTTGAATCCAAACCTTCTGGACGAGAGATAGGGACACTACCACTTCTTCACAAGACCCCAATATGTTTTATCAGCATGATCAGATGTTATCTCACACCTCTGTTTCTCCTACAGTTGCTGGGAATTCTTTCCTGTTGATGCTGTCAGTACTTTTTGTAAATCTGAGGGGACTGGATAGTGGGACTAAGACTTGGTTTTGGCCTGGCTCTGATTCTAAGATTCCCACCCCCTCTCCCCCCAAACCCCTCATCTTATGCTGAATTCTCCCATCTATTTCTATTTGATCTATTTCTTTTTTTTAGCCCTAGTATGTAATCCAAAACAATTCCTGAGTCAATGATGCAGTTCAAAATATACAGGGAACCAGAGATAACCTGAATGTGACTTAAATTTTTGACACTGGTCATCTTGTTCCATGCCATAAAGTGAGGTCTCCATTTCCCACCTAAGCAACATTCTAACCCCTCTGTTTGATTTGGGCCTGTGTTAATAAGAATTACTTATCAGAGTTTGTGGTCTTTAGGAATGAATTGACAAGAATATGAGTAAGGTCCTCATAGCCTCTCGAAAGGGCTTTTTACAAACTTCCAGTGAGAGGCCATTCTCTTCTAAGTTACTTATTTGTAATAATTGTGATGAATAGGGTTAATAATTTCATGTGCTTCGACTTGCTGCATTAGAGTCAAGCCTGTAAATAACATTTTACAGAGCTTTTCCACAACTAGTCAAGGATATTTTCTACCTGACATTTTGCTTTTCCTGGATGTGGGCGAGTGAGGGGTACCTTTAATAGAATGGCCCTGATCATCCATCCTCACCCTTAAAACTCTTGGCCTTGTTTTCAAATTTTGGTGTGTTCTAATTCCGTTTATCTGTATTACAAGGTACTGTATTAAAAATCTTGGGCATCTCTGTATTCCTCCAACTCTGAGCTCCCCTGTTTTCATTTGCTCCTTCAATGGCTGCCATACTTTAAGCTGCACTGATTCTAGATGGCCCAATTTGAACCAAGTGCAGGCTCACCATCCAGCTTAGAACCTAAGCTGAATTCAACCCCGGCTCATTAGCGATGGTGGGACAGCGGGGAGGATAGGAGGGAAGGGCTGTACCACAAACTGTGCATCTACCCACAGATCAGATTCTTGCTTTTCAGGTCCACGTTATTCTGTTGCTCATTACCTTCATCTACTTTTAACTCACTGTTCTTTAATTGGTGCCTAGGCTTTGATTGACACATATGACTGAATCTTTCAAACCATGCTATTTAAGGAATGCAGCACTCAAATATTCAGGAATAGTTGCCTGTGCTCCATCTTCATGCTTTGGACTGTAGTTCCGAAGTTGAGAGACTCAGTTGGACACAGTCATCTCCCATTTTAGTCCAACGTTGCAGCATCTCTCTTTAGCCATTCATTTTGTGTTTTGAACAAGCATCATTTCAAACTAGGGTGTCACATTTGCCTCTGATTTGCCTGGCCTAGTGCAGAACTGTTCTCCTGATCACGGTGTAGCTACTTTAATCAACCTGTTTAGACATGCTGTGACACACCTCTGGGGCAGGTGGGACTTGAACCTGGGTTTTCTGGCCTAGAAGGTAGGGACACTACCACTGTATCACAAGAGCCATAGTTTGTTGTGTAAATTAATTTCTTAGACCCACATCGAGTGACAATGAAATCTGCTGATGATACCAAAATGAGAGACCTTACAAACTGTTTAGAAGACAAGAGGGATTTTTAATGGGCACATGTTAAAATGAAGAGCTGAACTAAAAAGACACATGGAATTCTATCTCAATAAGGGTGAAATGATATATTTTGGAAGGGAGCCTTGCTTAGTGTTTTAGGACAGCAAAGGAGTGTAAAATGACAAGTTTACAGAATAAAGCTGCAAAATAAAATTAGTCTGAGCAATATGCAAACTTCGAAACTTCTGTTGATATACATGCAAATATAGCAAGCTATTATAAATGTAAAATGGCATTTTGTACTTTATTGTAAAAGGTTTGGAGTACAGGAATGAGGAAGTCTTGTAACAATTGTGTAGGGTTTTCTAGAGTATTGTATACAGATTTCGTCTCCACATTTAAAAAGATATACTTCTAATGGAGGCAGTACAGAACAAGTTCACTAAATTAGTTCATGGGATAAGGAGATTGTCCCAGGCTGAGAAAATTGAGAGTATAGTCTTTGGAGTTTAGAAGACGAGAAGCAGTGTTTTGAAATGTTTAAGATTCTGAAGGAGCCTGATAGGGTAGATGTTCAGAGATTGTTTCTGCTGGTCAGAGAAATTACTTCACTGAAAAGGGTTGTGGAGTCTCTATTCTTGAATACATTTATGGCTGGGCTGGACAGATTTTTGATGGCAGGGAATGGAGAGATATGGGGAGTGGAGAGAAAGTGGAATTGATGATTGTATTGAATGGTGGAGCAGGTTTGACCTACCTCTGCTCCCACTACTTGTTCTTGTGCAGTGTTAGTCTGACAGGCCAATCCTCTATGTAACTCCTGTCTTGAAAGTGCAAGTGTGCAGATATCTGGTGTGAATAGGAACATTGTTTTCGAGCTGTTTCCCCAGATGTTGGTGAAGATATATTAAAGATCTGGCTCAGGGTTGGCCGAAGGGGACATGTAACTGGCAAAATTCTACCCAAGTTGCAGCAGAAAATCAGGAAAACTCCTGCAGAAATCCTAAGATGTTGAAGATTGTTAAATAATCATAAAGTGGTGAGTAAAATGGGATCCTGAGCTTTATAAAGAAATATGGAGTGCAAAAGTATAAAGTTATGCCAAACTGGTATAAGCACTAGTTCATCCCCAGCTGGAGTATTGTGTTAATTCTGGGAACCAAACTTGAAAAAGGACAGGAAGGCTTTGGAGAGGATGCAGAAACAATTTACCAGAATTATTCTGGAGAGGAGGGATCACCATAACATGGATAGGCTGGACAAGGTGGGGCTAATTCTACTTAGATCAGATAAGGCGAAGAAGATTTTTGATGGGTGTTCACCACCTGCAAGTTCCCCTCCAAGCCACTCCCCATTCTGATTTGGAAATAGATCACCGTTTCTTTTCTGTTGCTGGATCAGAAGCCTGAAATCCCTCCCTAATGGCATTGTGGTCTACCGACAGCAAGTAACCTGCAGTGGTTCAAGAAGACAGTTCATGACCACCTTCTCATGGGCAACTAGGAGTTGGCAATAAATGCTGGCCCAGCCAACACTGCCTAAGAGAATGGTGGAAAACAAATTCAGTAATAGCTTTCGAAAGGGAATATGATAAAATAGGTGAAGAAAATACTGCAGTCATGTAGGGTAACAGCAGCAGAGTGAGACTAACTGGATTATTCTTTGAAAAAGCCAGTGTAGTTTACAATAATACAACACAGAAGGTAGCTGTATGATACTATGATCTTGTAATAAATTTATTGAGAGTTAGTGGCAGTGTGTTTCTGTGCCTTTCAGTGAAAATCAGGACCTGTCCTCCTAAAAACACTCAACTGTCTCACTGGTCTGAACTCTGTTTGAAGGGTGGAGTTGATTGTAAAAGGTAAAGCCAACATAGACTTACCAGACCACAGGGCCTGCTTCTCAATTGAGAGAGACAACTGGTGGCAGTTTTACTGGAGGGTCACCATACCTTAGGTGAGGGGAGAGGTTGAGAAGGAGAGTCCTTCATGGTAACCTCAGCCGATGTGGGAGTTGAATCCACGCTGTAGGTAACACTCTGCATTGCAAATCTAATCAATTGATTGCAGAACTTAGCAAAAGAATAAGTTTTCCTAGATATTGCTAAATAGGCAGCCTTCATTTTCACTTACCAACTTTTATTAAAATGTTTATTAAAAATGTTTTGCTGGGATGGGAAAATTACCAATACCTGCACTACAGTCTGTTTTACCATGGGCTAAATTCTATTATTTAAATGTTTGTGTTCTGATGAAGGCTAAAAGAATAACTGCAGGCAGGACCTGGGAGATGTCTGTCACGGTCTGGTTTTAGTGACTTAGAAGTGAAAATTAAACAACACAGACAAACCTTTTGCTTTATTTTTCACAGCAGGTTTAGCTGATTGTGGGTGATGATAAATTAGTTTAAATTTGCATGACTGTAGATGTGTGAGAGTGTGGAGGATGGGGTTAGAGAAGTCTCGCCATTAACCTTGATGACATCGTTGTTACTGAATTTGCAAGTCAATTGGTCATTAACTGGTTATTTTGGACATTTATCATTGCAACCAGCAACTGGTCATTTGTGTCAAAACTGACTGTTTAAACGGAAAACAAAAGAGTAAAGAATCCAAGAGTTGCTGATAACTTTTGTTAATATACTTCGGAGTTTTCTCTGGACCTTACGTTCACTGAGACTCAGTTGCTATGATTTCCTCCCAGTGTTTGTGGGTGATTGTGAACTTATTTTCCCAGCTTGGGTTTGAGGGGAATGGAAAGGTGTTGAATCACTAGCAGCTGGACTGGAGGTCCTTCTTCTATTGAGATTATTCCTCATCCAGACTGAGCGCACCCTTCTCTTGGTCAAGGAGCTGTGGTTTTCGGGCTCGGAGGATTAGCGTGGCATTTGGAACGAGCCCATACTCCTTCAGAGTCTTGGACTGATCGCTGTAGACTTGTTGAGGGAAGGTGCTGATAATGTCGTAATCAACCTGTTGCTGTGCCCTGCAAAACATCAACCACCAAGCAAAATCTTAAAGTCCCAGCACACAGCAAGGAACTAAATAGAATCATAGAATCCTTACAGTGTGGAACCAGGCCATTCGGCCCAAAAAGTCCACACTGCCCTTCCGAAGAGCCCCCACCCCTGAATTTCTTGTGTCTACCCCAGCTAAATTAAAAATCCCTGGACACTATGGGCAATTTAGCATAGCCATGCCACATAATCTGCACATCTTTGGACTGTGGGAAGAAACGGGAGGAAACCTGCGCAGACATGAGAATGTGCAAACTCCACACAGTCGCCCGAGGGTGGAATCAAACCTGGGTCCCTGACACTGTGAGGCAGCAGTGCTAACCACTGAACCACCGTGCTGCCCTGGTGGCAAGGGGGTCAACTTCTGGTCAATTTGGCACAAGTACCTCCTTTCAGGAGCCAGTTGCCTCCATTGAATAATACTTTAATGGACTTTAGAAACTTCTTCAATATAATGGAAAGAGGTAACTGAGGTTGGCAGAAGGAATGAGTTTGTATGATTGGAGGAATTCCAGTTTAGAGGTATTGAGAAATGGCAGGACTTAGTCTAGAGAACCTTGACTTCAATACAGTGGAGATCTTGGTACCCTGGTAGTCAGTCATAGCTCAGTGACTACAGTCTTTGTCAGATGGTTAAGAGCTCAGATTCCACTCCGTAGACTTGAGCCCAAGATCCAATTGCCTTTTCCCACAATACAACAAAGTCTTCACTTCAGGAATACCTCACTGTGACACCCTGAGGTTTTGAAAGAGGTAAGTCTTTTTTTAAATAAGTTAGACAGAAGGGGTGTATAGGTGTGTGGGAATACTTACAGATTCAGGATTTTCATCTCCTCATTGTGCATGCTTGACTGACAGCCCAGATCAGTAGAAGTATTAGCTCAGTAGGAAACTTGTATTGAAGTGAATTGTTGACTTTGACAATTTAAATGGTTATAAGTTGTTATTTCTGTGATCTCTGGATAATCTTGTGTTGTTTCCTTTTAGAACGGGGAAGGTTGACTGGGATGGACAGGGTGGACAGAAAGCAGCTGTTCCCCTTAGGTGAACAGTCAATAATAAGGGGCCATGCTTTTTAAGGTGAAAGGCAGGAGGTTTAGAAGGCTCTGTAGGTTTTAAAAAAAACTTTCACCCAGAGGAAAAGATGGTCCATGATAGGCCTTCCAAGGGAAATATGAGAGATTCCACAACACTAATAGTCAGCATTAAAGAAGGAGTACAAAATAGTAACTTAATGACAGAAAAGTTACACAGATCCAATATGGAAACTTGGCAGCATCAGTAGGTCCCAACATAATGGTGTGGGTTAATTTTGACTTGCCAGATGCAAAATCTTTGCTCTTCCACTTTTTCACCACTCGTCTATCAAAATGTGGGTATCCAGTTCTGCCTTGTCCATTGCCCTCACATAGTGACACAATGCCATCAGAGGGAGCCGGCCAACAGAGGCATGTGCTTGAGAGAACAATATGCCATGTTGATGAGACATCGATATATGACTTTTGGCCACACTGCATTTATACAGTCTCCACCCTACCCCACAATATCAGTCTGTGCTGAATGAGAGAATTAGCTGAACAGACATGCATAATGTGTCCAAACAGCGAAAGCAAGGAGCGTTACCTGTCCATGTGTTTTCTTCATTGTCATGCCAGCATGCTGCAGAGGAGGACAGGTGAGGAAGGTATTTAAATGCCAGATTGTGGTCTAAGAGTTGCAGTGAAGGAGGGATGTTATAGATCCAAGAAGAAGGAAGGATGCTTCCAGAGGGATATGTGCTGCACCATGAGTGCAGCAGGTGAATGCCAGTGTTCCTGGATCTGATGCACAAACGGTTCCATGACTTGCTGCACTCCTGGCAATTAATTTACAGAAGTACACAGACATCCTTGTGACAGATGAGAGGCATGGTCAAGGTGTTCACGTGGATCTAAGCATTAATGAGGTGTCATCAGAATGGACCCCAATGATCCACACCTACATTGATGACCTTTGTCTCTGAATGCAGTATAGAATGGGCTTAGGACTCTGTATATTGTACATGCAGGAGAAACAGGTTTACAAAGGCAGAAGGTTGGGCCAGCAAGGCCAAAGGCAATTCGCTAAGTTGATGAGGTGGCCATGGACACTGTGAAGGTGGTAGCTGAGTTCATTATTGTAGCTGGAGAGGTGAGCAGCTGTCTCCACCTTCTCCAAGGTGAAATATTGAGCACTATGTGAGGGTTTGTGAGCACAGGGCACCAGTTCATTTTGACCATTGATAAATTTATAGTGGTGCTATTTACTATCAGTATATCAGTAAGTTTCATGCACTTGCAAATGAATTGGGTAAAACCTTGTCCCTCCCCTGTGAGTTTGATGTATGGTAGGGAGTGTATTCAATCAGATGTGAGTGTGGAGGGAGGGTCCCTATCACCTTCTGGCTTCCATCCCAATATCAATCTTCTTCCTACTGCTACCAGTTGAGACCCTTAAATGGGAAATTGCCTGAGGATCGCCATGTGATGAGCATGACAGTAACACCCTGTTGTGTTTGCTGGTGGGTATTCCTCATCCAAGGTACCTGTGTCTAATTAATGGATTCCGCATCAGGAAGGTGGAGAGCAGAGCTTACCCACTGAGACCAACCCCCTAACCTTGTTGCTCAAACCCTAGATCCCACTCCCCCACCATCACTCATCTGTACCTGAGATCCAGTGATCTCACACCTTCAGGGCGATGTCTTAGCAGCAACAACCACAGCTTGCCTTGTGGCACTTTGGTTCAACAGAGCTGCCAGATGGATTGGTCAGCAGCCTCCGAGGATACCACTTTGGGATCTTTGATCCTAAGGTCCCTCTAATTGATCTATCAAGGGCTTGAATGGGCCACATACAGAGGGCTTTTCTGAAAGAAGATGACGCAGAGTTTCTCACCAGACTGACAGTAGAGACTCCTAACTGACTCTAACTGACAGTAGAGACTCCTGTTACCTCTGCAAGATTCTGGAAATGTATTTTCTTCAACAAATGTGGTGGTGTGTCATTATACACCAGTAGACTCATTTGCCAGGTAATCAGTGCAACTTCCTACCAATGGCAATGGAGACAGCAGCCAGAAGTTCATCTCTGTGATGGCATGGGTGAAGTGTTAGCTATGTATGTCTGTGATGTAAGTGGTGTGATTTATAAACATTATGATATCATTTATTTTAGATTTTGGATTTGAACTAGTGACGTGGGTATTGGTCTGTGTGTATGATGGGTGTAATGATTAACTTGTTGGTATTTTTCTACTGTTACGGTGGAAAACTGCCTTGTTAAATTTAAAAGCAATCTATGAAGAAAGTTTTCAATTTGAGATCTGATTCATCCAGTAATAACGTAAACTGGGATCATAATGTCTGGCAGTGGAAATCTGATTCTTAATCCTGTGTTCAGAGAACGTGGGAGCTAGTTCACAAGGAGGTATGAATGTTGCAGGCCATTCCAACATTTGTTGTCCGTCCATTGGTGCATTTGAGGATGTAGCAACTCACCGATTATTTAAAAAATGGAGTTCCTCTGGAAGGAAGTCAAATGCAGTGTGTTTTCCACAAAGAAGGCACAGAGGCTGTTCCATATGTCAGAATGTTGTGTCTCTTTAGATAAGCTTCCAAGTATTCTTTCAGATGGTAAAGGTTGTGGTTTATAAGGAGCCTCATTGAGTTATAAATTTGCAGGCTGTCACTGTGTGCCAGTAGTAATAGAGACTATGAAGGATAGGGCATAGGGATCAGTTGTTTAGGGTATGAGAATCTTCCTCAAACAGGCCCCAGATTTCACCAACAACAGCCTTGACCTGCAAAGACAATTGTCAAGTCAGGATAACTTCCCCAGAGATGGTACATTGTTCTCTTGGGGTAAGATCTTCTCCTTCTTGCTGTGCTCTGTGGTGGCTCTGTCCCTCTTCATGCAGTGAGCCCTGACTGTCTCCATGGTGGCTGGGTCAAGAAATGATCCCAAGAAGGCCACATAACTTTGCCTTTCCATTTCTGTTCCTGACTGCCTCTCTCTCACATCAACAGTCTAGCGGCCTGGGACAAATCTCCACGTAGGAAGTAAAACTTCTGTCTTCAAAATTGAACTTTGCTGAACTCTACACAAGGAAAATGTACCTTTTTAAGAGACCCTCAGAGGCTTTTGTGTCCTTTCCCCATAAAATTGTAGCTCATATACATGGGTACAGTCACTCACACCAACAAAAATTCCACAATATTTTATAGAGTCCTGGAAGCGGGTTAGCTATTCACATGCAAATCACACCCTGTCACCTCACCCGACCTGGAGAAAACAGCTTCAATTGGAAATCAAGGCAGCACTTATAAATTCGAGCGCTGGCCAGCTTTTTAAAAAATGATGACTCCTGGAAAAATACAGATCATAGTATCAGAGTAAGGTGTCAACTATTTAGGATGAAGAGAAATGTCTTCATGCAAATTGTTGTGCACCTTTGGAATTCAGCTGTGGATGCTCAGTTATCAAATACATTTAGCTGGATCTTTAGATTGTAAGCAAATTAAAGGATATGGGGATGTTGTGGCAAAATGTGACTGATGTAGAAGATGAGCCATGATCTTATTGGAATGACAGAGAAAGCTCAAGGGATCAAAGGGCCTGTTTCTGCTTTTAAATGTTTCTATAAACATCACCGAGTAGCTTACCATTAGTTTTCGGGTTATAACAGCTTTACTAGACGACTGTGCTACACAAAGCCTGCTCTCTATCTACACCACCACATCCTTCAATCATAAACACCTCAATTAAATCACCCTTCTTGGTTACTAAATGTAAGGCCGTACAAGCATAATTCCTGTTATTTCAAGGAGTGATGTTTGTGTTCTGACAATCGATGCTGCCCATTAATTACTGGAGAATTTATGTATTGTCAGCCTCTTACCTGTTCTGATTGAGGTAAGTGCGAAGGGCCCCAACTGTCTCTGTGAAAAGCATTTTAACTATGTACACCTTCTCTCCATTCTCTGACTTGATTCTGAGCGTGGAGACTTTTCTCAATGTTCGGTCATTTTCCTCACTGAGCGCCAACCTATGATCAAGTAAAACAGAGGACTCTGTGATGCCAATAGGAGCAGAAGATATACTCTGGACACTAGAAATTGGGTTGGGGCATTGGCAGCATGTAGCATTGGACACTGATCCAGAACATTGGACACTGACTTAGGAAACTGGACACTCATTCACGGCACTGGTTCAGGTTAAGGGGAAATTTTGGTAGAGGTGTTCAAAATAACAAGGGATTCTGACTGACTAATAAGGAGGGGTAATAATGAGAGGGCATATGTTTAAAGTGGTTGAGAAAACGAGAGAGAAGATGAGAAATCATTTATCTAGGAATATAGGTAAGAGATTAGGAGTGGGACTAGTTAGGTAGTTCAATCAAGGAGCTAGTACATTATGATGGGCTGACTGGCCTCCTGTGCTGCAAGGTTGCTTTGTAGATGGAATGAGAACGATCAGTCAATCTACAAAACATTTCACCGTTCATGATTCTACCAGAGTGCAACTGAAATAGAGAGCAAACCTGAGTCAGGGAATTTGATGATGAGGTTAAGGTGGTCATCCTCTCTTTTTCTAAGTTTATCAATCTCCAGGAACGTGTGCATTAAAAAATGCCAAAAGGCGACGGACAGCCAGCAGTAGTTCACCACTGTGCACTGTAGCTGGGGTAAATGTTGACTGCTGAATAACTGATAAGTCAATCTATTTATTCCAATTGTAACAAATTGGAATGTACAACCTGAGGTATGTTGGAAGTCCATGTGTCCCAGATGAACACATCTGCAGGAAGTGTCACCGGCTTCACAAGCTTGTGCTCTGGCTTTCAGAACTTGAGGGAGAAACTGGAATCAGTGGTGTGCGTTCACAAGGCAGAGCGCTATATGGATAGTGCTTTCAGGGAGGTAGTCACATCCTAGATCAGTCATGAGAACCAGGCAGGCAGAGAAGGAATCCTCAGAGTCTATCTTGCTTGCTAATCAGTTTTCCATTTTGGACCTAGATGAGGATGATTGTTCCTCAGGGGAATACAGCCAGAGCCAGGTCAGTGGCACCTTGGAGAGCGGGAGTGCGATAGAGATATGCAATTCCACAGACAGGAAGATCAGACAGGCACTTCTGTGGCAGTATAGGTGACTCCAGGATGGTGTATTACCTCCCTAGAACCAAGATCGCAGATGTTACGGACTGGCCTTACAACATCCTTCAGGGAGAAAATGACTAGCCAGAGGCTGTGATCCATATCAATACCAATGACTTAGACAGAAAGGGGGATGATGCCCTGAAAACAGATTTTAGGGAGTTAGGAAGGAGATTTTAGAAAGGTCAGACCTCAAGACCTCAATTTTACTCCTGATGCCATGTGCTAGTAACACAAGAATAACTGAATTGAAACATGGCTGCAGAGTTGGTGTCGGAGAGAGAGATTTCTGAAGAATTGTGACCTGTTTTGGGGCAAGTGGGACTTGTATAAGGGTTACACCTTAAAGAGGACCAGAACTGCTATTCTCCTGGAGAGATTTTCTGGTGCTTTTGGGGAAAGTTTAAACCACCTTGGTGGGGGTGGTGGCAGCCATGTGAGGTAGCTTGAATAGGATGGAAATTAACATAGTAACAGAAAGTAGTAAAGTGACAATTGGACTTAAAAATGAATTCGAGAACAAAGGCAAGCATCAACTAAACTCAGAATGTGGAATAATGTCAAAAGACAAAGTTAAGGGCGCACTACCTAAATGCACTCAGAGATAGTAGGTACTGTCGATGATGGAGTCCGAGATAACACAGTGGGGAGCTGGAGGAACACAGCAGGCCAGGCAGCATCGAAGGAGCAGGAAAATTGAAGTTTCGCGTCAGGACCCTGCTTCAGAAATGGGGAGGGGAAGGGAGCTCTGAAATAGATCCACTGAGGTCTTTCCAGCATTTGCAACAAAGTAAATGATTTAAAGACACAGAAGTAAATAGGTATGATCTAATTGCCATTACAGAAACATATCTGCAGGATAACCAGGACTAGGAATAGAGTATTCAAGGATATTTGATATTCAGGAAGAACAGGCAAAAAGGAAAAGGAGATGATGTTGCATTGATAGTAATGGATGGGCTCAGTAAATTAATAAGGGAGGATCTCAGATTGGAAGGATAACGTGTGGAATCTATTTGGGTGGAGCTAAGAAAAAGCAAGGAGTAGTCAACATTGTTAGATGTGTTTTAAAGACACTGATCAATAATGGTGATATGCAGCATGGTCTTCGTCAGATTATTGACAAATGCAGCAAAAGATAATAACAATAATCATGGGTGATTTCAATCTGTATTTAGACTGGGTAACCTGATGAGCGCTAATGTTTTGGTGGATTGTCTAGGGGATAGTTTTCTAGAACAGTATGTTGAAGGTCCAAATAGACAACAATTTAAGCAAAGAAAATTATGAAGGCACAAGGTCAAATTGCCAGTGGTCATTTGGGAAAAACAGATTAAAATGTATGAGAGGAAATGGGCAACAGAAAGTCTTTAAAGAATTGCTACATAGTTTATGGCAACTATACACTTCTTCAAGGAAGAAAACAACCAAAAAAGTCAGTCTACTGTGTTTAACAAAGCAAGCTAAGGATTGTATAAGTTTAAACAAAAGACGTATTGAGTTTCCAGAAACAGTAATAAACCTGAGGACTGGGGATTTTAAAATACATCAAAGGAGGACAACAAATGATAAAGGGAGAATGGAATATGAATGCAAATTAGAAAATATCATAAAAATAGACTGTAAAAGCTTCTATAGGGATGTAAAAAGGGAAACATTTTGTTAAGACAAATGTCGGTCCATTAAAAGCAGAGACAGGAGAATTTCAGATGGGGAATAGAAAAACAGCAGAGAATAGAAAAACTGGTTACTTTGTGTTGGTCCTGGATGATAAGTCATAAGAAATCTCCCAACATAAGATTCAAAGCACTAGGGAAAATGAGTACTTTAAGAAAATTAGTAAGAATGTTGTGTTGGAGAAATGAATCGGACTGAAAGGTGATAGGTCCTCAAGACTTGATATTCTACATCCTAGCGTGTTGAAAAGATGGCAATGGAGGCAGTGGACACATTGGTGATCATCCAAAATGCTACTGAATCTGGATCAGCTACAGCAGATTGGAAGAAAGCAGCTGTTACTATATAAGGAGGGAGAGAGAAAATGGGAAACCCCTGAGTTGTTAGCTATACATCATTAGTAAGGAAAATGTTCGAAACTATTATAAAAGATGTGATGAATAGACATTTGAATAATCTAATTGGGTATAGTCAGCATGGATTTGTGAATGAAAATTGCATTTGATGAAATTGTTAAGAGTTTTTTGAGGATGTTACTAATAGAGTTGATAGAGGGGGAGGATATTGGTTGATGGTAGTACACTTGGATTTTCAGAAGGCTTTTGATAAAGTGCCCTACATGAGGTTGATTAACAGAACTACAGCACATGGGATAGGAAATAATTTAACAATATGGTTTAAAGATTAGCTCACAGGCAGAAAATAGAGTAGGAATAATCATTCTCATGTTGGTGGACTAGAGGGTGACTACGAGGATTAATATTGGGCCCACAATATATATCAAGAGATGTCGGTCATTCCCAAACTTGCACATGATGCAAGACTAACCGGGAATGTGCATTGTGAGAAAGACAAAGTGATTTCAAGAGAATTTGAACACACTTAATGAATAGACAAGAACATGGCACATGGAATATGATGTGGGAAAATGTGATGTTATCCACTTTGGTAGAAGAAACAGATATGCAAAGTATTCCTTAAATGGTGAGAGATTAGAAAATTTAAATGTACAAAGGGTGTCCTTGTCAATAAATTACCAAATGCTGAAATGCAGGTGTAGCAAGCTGTTAGGAAGGCTAATGGAATGTTAGACTTTATTGCAACAGGATTTGAGTACAGAAGTTTGTAAGAACTGCACCTGGAGTATTGTGTGCAGTGTTGACTCTTTCTCTCAAGAAAGATATTAATGCCACAGACAGAGTGCAAAGAAGTTCCAACAGACTTCTTCCCGGGATGGCAGGACTGTTCTGTGAAGAGAGATTGGTGAATCTGGGCCTGTTTTCTCTGGAGTTTTGAAGAATGAGAGGTTATCTCATTGAAACTTAAAATATTTGAAGGGATAGGCAGGGTGTAAATGCAGGAAAGGTGTTCCTCCTGGTTGGGGAGTCCAGAACCAGGGGACACCATTTCAGAATAAGGAGAAGTCACTTAGGACCAAGATGAGGAGATTGGTTTTTACTCAGAGGGTTGTGAATCTTTGGAATTTTCTACCAAGGAAGGCTGTGGAAACTCAGATATTGAATATGTTTAAAGTAACCACTAATAGATTTGTAATAGCAAAGGTGTAAGGGGAAATGGAGACAATGTGGGAAGAGAGGCTTTGAAGTGGATAATCAAACTGATGACTCGATGGTATCAATGAAGTAGTCTAACTCTTACTCCTATTTCCTATCTTCCAAAACAGGATCCCAGATTCCTGCCCACACTTTTCTATTCCAAGTAATTCAAACCGCCCTCCTACTTCATCAGTGACACCTGTACCTCTCTCTCAGTTTTGCTAGAGTTGGAGTTTCAATCAGAATCGTATTTTCATGGGCTGGTTTGGGAGGGACCTGTAGAAGGAATAAATTAAACCAATTAGAACAAAGCTATTCATTATACCAGCTTTGGAGCCAGAACCTCACTCCTGAATACAGTACATTTCATAATCTCCAGTAAGCTAGGATAGTGGCAACAACACTTACTGTGAATCTCCTCTGACATTTGCAATGAAGGACAAACCTTGATGGTTCAGGTTTGTCTGCAATGATTCATCTTTGGGAAACCAAGGTTTTGTGATTTGTGAAACTTTTGTGTACTTCTAACACTATTTACATTCAATGCCTGATGATCAACACCAGGTGGCAGCAGATGCACACTATTTATTTTTGATTACAATATTGAGGCAGTGCCCAGAGATGCTGAACAAACACCGGTGGCTGAAATAACAGCAACAGATCCTGGTTTTTACAGCCTGGAATGTAATTGAGTGTCACCTGGTTTATATATTGAACAAAAGGCAAATGGAAAGTGTTATGGACGAGAATCTAATTGAGCAGTTCAGGTGATGGTTTATATGCAGCAGTAAATTAAGTCCCTGGGAGGACAGAAAAGGCCTCACAGTAACGTCTCTGAAAGACAGCAACTCTGACAGTGCAGCACTCCCTCAGTACTGTTTTGGCACTATCAGCCTGGATTTTGTGTTCAAATCACTGGGGTGGGACTATGATCTCACAACTGTCTGCCACAGAAGCAAAACAAATACTAAGTGACTGAGCCTGTCTGACTCTTAAAAGATCAAATATCACTCAGAGTAGCACTAAGAAACCTGCAGATAGTCAGGCAGTATTCTCCAGTACTGGTTTGCCTGGGACTGAGTGTTTACAGGGACACTTTTCACTGCACTGTGCAAAAACCCTTTATCTTTTTGGACATCCACTGATGTTAAAAAGCCTACCAGCTCTGATAAAGAAGTGGCACTGAATCTCTGTGCTTAACCGCCTGCAGTGTGACCTTCAGCAGGAGTTTCAACATATAATGTCTCAGCACACCTTTTCCTGTTGATAAGCAGCCACAACTCCCACTCTTGTGGTGACTCAAGGCCTGTCTCACTGAGCGCTATTCACAAAAAGTGGGTTTCTCTTGTTTGAGTCTCGGACCCTTGAAAGACAAAAGCAGATTGCTTATGGTCATTGAGAACCGTGATGATCTCATCTTGTGGTACAACTGTTTCAATAAATTAATGTGGTAATATTTTCTTTAGAGTATTTGCTGGGTGAGAGATGCTGAGGGGTTCCATCTTCTAGGTGAGGCATTAAACTGAAGCTCTGTCTGTCAGATCAGGTGGATGTTCAAAATTCCAGAGTTTGGAGAGAAGGAAACTCCTTCCTCAGTCCCATCACCAAAAAGGATCAACAGCCGTTTGTAGGATATTGCTGGCTGCATATTAGTTGCCACATTTGTGACCTTATAACAGCGATTGTATGTCAAGAAGGACTGTGCTGCATTAAACAGAGCCTCTGTGGGTGCCTGAAGTTGTAAATTGAGCGATAACTCTTCATGTCGGAGCCTGGACAGCATGAGTCGACAGGTTTGGTTGAACCCTCCCCTACCTAATGTGCTACAAATTTGCAGCTAAGAAGGATTCCCCTTGGCCCCTAGCCTGCCCCACACAGTTACCTGAAGAATGTCTCTGATGTCTCCTCTGATGTCAATCACCTTCCCAGCCCGGATGATAGTTTTAGGCAGTTTGTTCAGAAACTGATCCGCTGACAGCTTTGGGCCTTAAAAGCAAGAGAGGAACAATTTTTAATTATTCTATTTAGGTATCCTCATTTCCCACTTCACCAATCTGCTCGCAAAACCCTGTAGAGCAGTTTTCAATGCCTTTGTTTTCATGCTTAGCTTTCCCTTCAAAAATAATCAGCTCCTCTAACTTATTCTAACCTCCATACTCCAAGTTCTAGATATCAAGGACTTCAAAATCTGATTTGAGTGGAGCAAACCAGCCACTCATATGGACAGCTGCCTCATTGAAGTGTGTTTGTGTAAATGATGGTGCCCTCATCCCCTCCATAAATGGGAAAGGTTGGGTTCGGGGCAGGATTTTTGAGATGTCTGACGGCTTCCACTATTTTCTCCACAATGGAGAGGGTCTTTGTCTTGGCAAAAATCTGGTCTCCCCTTTAACTCGCAAATACACAGCCCACACATACACCTTCTACAAATATATAGTGCATCTATCAGTTACCATCTTCATTCCCCCCTCCCTCCTTTCACTTCCTCCAGTACTCAGCACCACACCCTGCCACAAGCACCTGGGAGAGCAGAGATGGGATCAGCCATGTTCAGTGAAATGGGGTGGTATGGACCTGCTATGTGCTTTGTTGAAACAAACACCTGCTGTGCCCACATTAAAAGTTGTTAAATTCTTGGAACGCAAAGCCTCCAACAGATGTTTACACGCTTGATTCATCATGTTAAAGAGTGTCTCTGCCTTTCATGTGGCCTCCCTTTCCTCTCAGTGTAATTTTTTTTTTAAATGCAGTTATCAGTCACGGGAAATTCGCAGAGATAGAGTTTCTTTTAGACCTGAGGCCGCTCCCTACTGAGCCACACACTTTCCCCAGGGTCCTGCACCCTGGAGACTGTGACATCCTGCTCCCTGTCAAGAGAGTCGCAATAACCTCATGCCGGGTAAGCCTCATGAGACGTTTGATGCAGAATGAGGGTGGAAGCTGCAGTGTGGAAGTTGGGCTTTAATATGGAGGAGGAGCTTTCACAACAATGATTTCTGATTGTTGATTAATGAAAATGGTGAACAAATGGGCACTGAGCAGGCCTGAGGATGTAGAGACATTAAGGTTGCAGTGAAAGAGAGAGAGATGATGGATAGAAACCACACTGACGGAAGTAGAGGAAGAATACAGGGAATAGTTAGTAGTTAGAAGGGATTTATTTGCTTTGTTAATAGTAGATAATTTGTTCACTGTTACAGTTAGAAAAATAAATTGTTACTTGTCGATTTTAAAGTGAATGTCAGGGATTTATTTTATGTAACACTATAAGTTACTGAATGGCAGGTTACACCACTTTTCACATTCCTTTTACAGATTATACGGCAAAGTGCTCCTCTTTGGGTGTTTTGGTTTTCGTTCTCAGAGGGGGGTGGTGTCAACCTCTGCTTTATAACAACAGCACTGAAGTTCCAGGGCATGTGTCTGCCAGCCTGCCTCAGAAACTAGCAGCCCCTTAGATCTTTCTTGGTGACCTGGCCCAACTCCCAACTGAGTCTGCAACATCAGACCAAAACTGGGAAGTGCGGGCAGCCAAACTTAAAGATTGAGTTTGTGGAGCTGGGATATCTCCCACCTCTGAGCACTTGATCTGGGAATGAGAATTAATTAGTTCACCAACCACTGTCATCAAAAAGTAATTCTAGACATGGACACAGAACAAATGTAGGAATTTTGATATATAAAAAAAGAATAAGACATGTTCTGACTTAATCAGGAATTACTGGCCTTCCCACAGGAGTACAAGAACTGTAGGTATAATTGCTTTTATTGGTGGGAGAATTTTTGGAGAGGCAGGGTCTTCCAAAATGTTTACTAGCTGCTAAATAGGTCAAGCACTTAGTTAAAAACATGTACCTTCACAATATTGCTAAAGTGCATAAGCAAGTATATCTTAGTTTAGGGGACGACTGAAAGGAGCTGTTCCACAAATACTGACACGTTTCAAAAATCTGACCTGTCACCTCTGCCCGTTCATGTGGCAGAATGAATGAATGAATCAGTCCCAAACATCATTATTACTGAAAACAAAAAGTGCTGGAGATCACAGCGTGTCAGGCAGCATCCATGGAAAGAAAGCAAGGTAACATTTCAAGTCTGGATGACTCTTCATCACAGCTGAAGTGAAGTGTGGAGGGGGCTGCATTAATGCAGTAATGACGTGGGGAATGGAGTGATGGGGGAGGAAGGATGTTGATAGTTCAGATTCGGTTAGCTTGCTTTCTGTCCATGGATGTTTTGTTTTCAGTACAGATTCCAGCATCTGCAGTAATTTTGCTCCAAACATCATTAGACCTTACCCAGAAGAAGACAAAAAAAAACATCAGGCTATTACTGATAACATGGAATAAGTTAGCAATAAAATGCCTGTGCTGTAGAATTTTAGTGTATACATACTTTAGAGTACTTTCCGCTCAAAATGTACCAACCAAAATTACCATCATACTTTGAAAGGCTAAGAGCAGCTGGATGGGAAAGCCACTTGGTTTCTGTTAAAACTTGCTGAACTGTAACATTCTATAGTAATCCTGCGTTTTTAGATGGTGCTATCATTCTGTACTAGATAATGTAATGATACCAAAATGTTCAGAGATGGAGATAGCAGATGAATTTGCCATAATCTTCCAATCTTCTCCAGACATGGGGCAGGTAGATGCCAGAGATTTGAAGAGTGCCAAATATATATTGTAATATTATTAGTTTACTGCTCACATTGTAGTGATTTTATAACAAACATCAGATCGTATGCAGTAGAGCCGGTTTTGAATCAGCCTTAAAGATATGATAAAATCTTATCAATGGAATTTCTATGTCCTGTGTCCTGTGTACTTTTACTTGAAATATATAAGAATGATAAACTTGTAGACTCCAAGAATGGGGATCTTACAGTTAAAGGTGCTATTAAAGTGCAAGCTGCTATTATTGAGGACATCCTTGAGAGGTTTGGGGGCAGAAGATGGGCATAAAACAGGTACAGTCACAGGCGATTTCAGGGGTTCAGTATCAGGCAATTCTTTGAAGTTGGTGAGAGCTAGTTTTCATCAGCTGGGAGAAATTCAGAAATTTCCATTTTGTCAACTTCAACTCAGAAGGACACATGTGGTACAATGGTACTGTTCCTACCCATGGGTCAGGAGGCCTGCATTCTTAGTCCTATTTGCTCGGGAGGTACATAATAATATCCCTGAACAGCTCGATTAGAACATATCTTTGACAACTTCAGCAGCTAAGAAAAATTAGCTGGATGTAATAGCATTTGTGACAGAAGGATGTTTAGTGGCCAGGTGTAAACCTGGCAGTTAATCCATTTTGTACCCCACAAAAGTGGGATTTCACCCCCCTCTCTGACAATTCTGCAGGAGTTTGAGAGACATGGTAAGTGGGTGACTCAGGAAAATCCATAAAAAGTGTTAAGTTAGCTCACTATCTTACTAAAATTCTTCAGTGTTTATAATTAAACAGATGCAACACTGAAAAAAAGTCGATAGATACAGAGACAAAGTCAGGCACCTCCTTATCAACAGCCTGAGTGAGTGGCCAGCAACAGTTCATTCAGAGTGATCCTCCACTCATACCTACCTGGAATTTCACTTGTCTCCTTTACAACCCCACAATCCTGCTGTTTGGAGACTCGAGGGGTACAGCAGCCTTCTATCGTTTGTCCCATGCCAGGGAATTCTGCATGTGACTGTCTGTCCCGGAAGATCAGATCTCGCCTGTCAGTCACCTATTCAGGGCACAAACCACAAAGACATTTGTGGGTTAGATATGACTCTGCTCTATATACAGTGCCTCCAAGGGATTTTTGGGAACAAATGCATTTTTTAAAAATTATTCTCCACACAAAGAGGAATGTAGCTCCCAATCCTATCTTGTGACTGGCCTATAACCACAATTCCCTAACACACCCTGCCTTGTTGATTCATCCTTGACTTCTTGCAGTTGTGAAGTAGGTGACCACGAGACAAACAAATCCAGACACTTTCAACTCATGCCTAGGGCTGATATGACCAACTTGACAATATGACTCTTTCCATTCAACAAAGTTCATTGAGTGCTCACAGGAATGGTTAAGGAACATTCTAATTCCAACGTTGCGGTCAGTGAGTTGTATCAAGGATTAGTTCTGTGGGTACTGTTCCCCATCCAGGTAGCTCATAAGCAAGGGTCACTCTTCATGTGTGAGCCAAGGTCAGAAGTCACATGACACCAGGTTGTAGTCCAACAGATTTACTTGAAATCACAAGCTTTCGAAATGCTGCTCCTTCAAAGGAGCAGTGCTCCAAAAGCTTGAGATTTCAAATAAACCTGTTGGACTATAACCTGGTGTTGTGTAACTGCTGAACTTGTCCACCCCAGTCCAACACTGGCATCTCCACATCATGTGTGAGCCAAGGCAGAGTACGATGGTGTACCATTCAGTGCTGGAAGGCATCTTAGTTGAGCTTGCGACTCATCTGTAATCCATATATCTATTCCTGACAGCAGGAGTTGTGGTTAGGGGTCACTTAACAGTGAACAACATGGAAAATCGGGTCCGATCTATTTCCTGTCAAGCTAGGGTGCTGAGAACAATGTTACATCCAGCCTATATCTCAGTGAGATCATATTGTAGATCCAATCTAGGATCTTCTAGTATAGCAAATTTCCATTAAATGGGGATGGGCTCACAAGACATATCTTGCTGGAACAGAGTATGTCAACTAACAATGACCAGTCTGTGGCAACAGGACTTCTTGCAACTCATTACAAATACCTACAACAATACTTGCACTGTTTAATGTATACAGCAAATAGATTTTCTGCTTCGTTTTAAACCTGAGTATATTAGAGAGCCAAATTTTTGCGAAGTTTTCAGTCATTTCCAGGAGTAATTCACTGAAAGCTCCATTCTACAGTCTAACACAGCAATCATTAATTTATACAACTTTATTGGAGCTCATACTGGGCTAGAGTTTCTGAATGACTAAAAGGTCCAAGTAAATTTCCCATCTGTCTCAGCAAGCAAACCCCACCTGACCAACATCAGATAACTGGCAAGCTTTCTGTTGGTAAGGATATGAATGAAGTCTGGGTTTTATTGTTATCTGGGGCTCAGTCAGAACATTCTCAACTTTCTGTGTCATAGCCAATCCAACCTTCCACCTCCTAGTAATGCACCTAGACCAACAGCATAAGATTACCAAATCTGTTTCAGAAAGTTGTATGCATCCTAACCTCCCAAAACCAACCACTTCATCTTGCAACCAACTTAGTTGTGTACAGCCTACACTTGTTTTCCTCAATAAATACACGCGATGAAGATAATTATTCTTTCTAACCATTCCCAGTCCCCCTTCTACTACTCCACCAAAATATTGGTAGTATTAGTTTATCCATGGCTAATTAGGTATAGCCCACGGCTCTCTGGCTCAGTGAGTAGTACTCATACTTCTGTATCAGACGTTGTGGTTTTGAGCCCCATTCCAGAGAGACTGGAGTATAAATTTCAGGTTGCCACTTCTAGTATTGAAGGGATACTGCAATGCATGAGGTCCTGTCTTTCTGACAAGATGTTAAACTAAGGGCTCAGCTGTCCTTCACATGGACATGAAATAGCCCATGGCCACAATGTTGAGGTACAGAAGGAAAGCTCTCCCTGGGTGTCCTGACCAATGTCTATCCCTCTTCCTAAATGAGCAAAACAGATGTCCTGTTCATTTATATTATTGTTTGTGGAATATTGTTGGGCACAAATTGGCTGAAAGAAGTTCTTCAATGTAACAGAAATTTTATCAGAATTACTACAGCGAAGAGGAGGCCATTTGGCCCAATGTGCCTGCACCAACTCTATTATCTAGTGCATACTCCTACCTTTTCCCCATATACCTGTATTACTGTCCAAAAAACCATGCTGTGCCCTCTTGAATGCCTCCTCCATTATTCCAGGTACTGCATTCCATACCCTAAGAACTCACTGTGTGAGTTCTTAGGGTATGGAATGCTTTGTTTGCACATCACTTTAAATCTTTTCTTGTTCTCTCTCATTCTTGTTTCATTCACAAGTGGAAACAGCTTCAGCCTACTCGTGATTTTGAAAGTGTCAGATTTCCCCTCAACCTTCTCTCAACCTTATTCTTATAGCTGGTACCATTCCAGTAAATTGATTCTGCACTCTCTCCAATGCATTCACATTTTTCCTATAATATGATCTCCACACTAGCACAAAATACTCCATCTGCAGTCTAACAAATGTCTTGTACAAGTTCAATATCACCTCCTTGCTCTTGTACCCCATGTAATATTAATAAAGCTGAAAAACTGTATGTTTTATTTATTGCTCTCTGCACTTCTCCTGTCATCTTTCAAAGTACTTCTGTAACTGTAAAGCAATTTGGGATGTCCTGAGACAATGAAAGGATCTACATAAATGCAAGTTCCAAATTCACAACATGACACTCCTTCAGCCTTTGTTAAAGAATTAAATAAATCAACCCCTGGTGCTACTTGATTAAGACAGTTGTATCAGGAACACAGGTGACTCGTCTGGGCCATTGAATTGCTAGCCAAGTGACATTACCATTATGCCAACATCTCCCCCTAAATTTTTCAGTACTATTACTTTGTTATTCACTCACTTACCTTAAATGGAACTCCTTCTGGGTACCTGTTCTGCAGCTCAGAAGGGAAATATCCATCCATGATATCCTGCATGCAATGCTAAGATTAAAATATTGGGAAAGAAAAAGTTTTGCGTTAAGTCACTATTTCTGATCACAATAATGTCTGACATAAAATTGGATAACATAATCAACATAAACAGGAATCAATGTAGCCACTGAGGCTCCTGCATAATAAACATTTTGTACATAATGATATGGCACAGAAAGAGGCCACTCACATATGGTACCTATGTCTCCACTTTGATGGGACAATTCAGTTAGTCTCACACCCTTGCAACTTCCTCACAAGGCTGCAAACTTTTCCTTTTCATAAAAAGGAAGTACTTAATCAATTCCCTTTGATAGTTACAACTGAATCTGCTTACGTCAACCTTTCAGGCAGTGTTTTTCAGGTCATAACAACACAGAGTCGGTTTTTTTGTCAGTTTCATATAAAAATGAAAAAGACTCACATTTATATACAACCTTCATAACCGGAATTTCAGCACATGCTGGTGAGCTGCCCTCATGAACCATTGAAATCTATTTGGTGTACTTACACCAACAATGTTCCTTGGAAGGAAGTTCCAGGATTTTGTCCCATTGCCAGCGAGGACGCAGTGGCAATATATTTCCAAGTCAGATAGTGAGTTGCTTGGAGGGGAACTTACAGGTGGTGGTGTTTTCCACATATCTACTGCTCTTGTCCTTCTAGATAGTAGTTGTCATGGGTCTGGAAGGTGCTGTTTAAGAAGCCTTAGTGAATTTCTGCATTGCATCTTGTAAATGGTATACACTGCTACAACTGCTCATCGGTGGCGGAGGGGCTGAATGTTTGAGGATGTGGAGTCAACCCAACAGGCTGCTTTGTCCCAAATGGTGTCAAGATTACTGGAGCTGCACTCTTTCAGGCAAGTTCGAAGTATTGCATCATACTCGTTCCTTGTAGATGGTGGACAAACTTGAAGAGCCAAGATGTGAATTACACACTGCAATTACCCTCGGACTCCTGTAGCCACAGTACTAATAGGGCACATCCAATACAATTTCTGGTTAGAGATAACCCTGAGGATACTAGAAGTGGGGGAGTGTTACTTGGCACTGGTCAGCCCAAATCTGGATATTGTCCAATTCTTGCTGCATTTCAGCATAGACTGTTTTAGTATCTGAGGAACTGCAAATGTTGCTGAACATCATGTAATCATCGGCAAACATCCCTACTTTTGACCTTATGTTGGAGAGGGGGTTATTGATAAAGCAGTTGAAGATGGTTGGGTCTAGGACAATACTCTGGAGGTGTCCTGGAGCTGACCTCTGATTACCATAACCATCTTCCTTCTTGCCAGGTATGACTCCAACTAACAGAGAATTTCCCCATCATTTTCATTGATTCTAGTTTTGCTAGGGCTCCTTGATGCCAAACTCAGTCAAAAGTCTCAAAGTCAAGGGCTGTCACTCTTACCTCACCTCTGAAATTCAGCTCTTTTGTCCATGTTTGAACCCAGGCTGTAATGAGGTCAGGAGCTGAGTGGCCCAGGGCATCACTGAGCAGGTGATTGCTGAGCAAGTGCTGCTTGTCAGAGCTATTGATGACCCCTTCTATCACCTTACAGATGCTCAAGAATATACTGATGGATGATAATTAGATGGGTTGGATTTGATCTACTTTTTGTGTATGGGACATAAGACAATTTTCCACATTGTTGGGTAGGTGTTGTTGCTAGACCGGAACAGCTTGGCTGGGGGCACCAAAGTTTTGCAGCACATGATTTCAGTACTATTTGAAGAATATTTCAGGACGGTTAGATCATCCACACAGCACCTGTGGCTGAAGATAATGATTCAGCATAATCTTTTGCACTAAAGTGCTGCGCTCCTCACATCATTGCTGCTGAACCAGTCTGTGATCATAGAATCCCTACAGTGTGGAAACAGGCCCTTCAGCCCAACAAGTCCACACCGACCCTCAGAGCACCCACCCAAACCCATCCCCCTATAACCCACCTAATCTACACATCCCTGAACACCACGGGCAATTTAGCATGGCCAATCCTCCTAGCCTGCACATCTTTGGACTGTGGGAGGAAACCGGAGCACCTGGAGGAAACCCACACAGACACAGGGATAATGTGCAAACTCCACACAGACAGTCGCCTGAGGGTGGAATTGAACCCAGATCCCTGGCGCTGTGAGACAGCAGTGCTAACCACTGTGCTGCCATGTCTGATCCATGTCTGATCTAATGCCATACGATTTCATGGCATCTAGAATCAAATTTGAGGACTCCCAGGGCAACTTTTAAACTACTCTTGGATCGGCACATGGAGGATAGTAAAATATAGGGTGTGCAGGGTAGATTGATCTTAGTAGGATAATAGGTCGGCACAACATCATGGGCTGAAGGACCTGTACTGTGCTTTACTGTTCTATGTTCTATGTAACTGCCTCCTGACTGTTTACCAGTATGCCACACTTCTGCTGGATCTTCCCTAACAATGGCACAGAGCATACACAGAGATTGTATGATGTTGTCTGGGGAATTGTCTGTAAGATATGATTCTGTGAGTCAGACTCTTACTTGACTGGCCTGTGAGACCGTTCGCTCAGTTTTGGCACTAGCCGTCATATGATAGTAAGGAGGACTTTGAAGGGTTGATAGTGTGTGCTTGTCGTTGTCGCTTCTGGTGCCTTAGTCAAATCCTAAGTGGTATGTCAAGCTTCAATCCTTTTTCTTTCTAGTGGTGATCCAACTAAGTGGCTTGCTAGACCATTTCAGAGGGCAGTTAAAAGTCAATCACACAGATCTGGAGTCACATGTTGGCCAGATCAGATAAGGATGGCAGTTTTCCTTTCCTAAAAGGCATTTGTGAACAAGATTGTTTTTTATGATCATTTGACAATGGTCTCATGGTCATCATTGGACTTCTAAAGGCAGATTTTATTGAATTTAAATTCCACCATCTGCAGTCGTGGGATTCAAATACCAGTCTCCACTCTTGCAAGAACAACCTCAGTTTCTCCAGACTATCCATGTAACTGAAGTCCTTTGTGCCTAGTACCACTCTAATAAATTTCTCTAATAAATGGTGCATAAAATTGGACCTATGCTTCAGATAGTACATAACCAATGTTTTATAAAGGTTCCTTTTGTACTTTATGTCTCTATTTATAAAGCTTGGATTTCTATGTGCATTATTTGTCATCCCATTTTCATACATAAACATTATAGACTGACTACATCATATGCAGTCTGTATACACAGTATGTGTCATTGGTTATTTTCCCATAACACAACACCATGCAAATTAGGCGGTCTTAAACTTTAGGTGGTATAAGACTGTTTACAATCTGTGCTTTACCTGAGTTGAAGGTTCATCATATGATCTGAATGGACCATTAAACATCACAATTCCATTCTTGAAGAGTGAGAGTGGTACAGGGTCTGGTCTCTTTAGCCGAGCTCCGCCTGTGATGTGTTCCACCCTAGCTTCGCCTTCACCAGCCAGAACATTCAAGTCTTTTATATTTTCTAGAACCAAATCAAAGTCCATTTGAAAAGGTTCCAAAGCTGCATCACCTGTGAACATATACGGATGTAAGAAACAGCATGAGAGTGAAAGTAACCACCAGTGTCTTGTAAGAGTGAGTTCCACACAGATAAAGAAATAATGCATTGCATTCAGGCAGAAGCTACATATACACATGTTAAAAAAAGAGTAATACAATATGCTGATAAGGTTAGTCGAAGTAGCGTAGAGGTAGCTCACGTGGAGCATAATCTTGCACCAGTTGAGCTCACTGCCCTATTTCCGTGCTGAGAACTTTTATATAATTCAATGGAATATCTCTGTATGTCTGTTGTGATCCTCAAGGGACAGGGGCATCTTGCAATACATTGTAGATCATGAGTGGGAGAAGAAATGAAGACAGAATTTTGAAAGAATCGGTCAAAAAGATGTGTTTTGGAACCAAAGGAGAGGATAATTATGAGGTCCAATGTAAATTTTCCAAGGATGGACACTAGTGGCTGATAAAATGACCACCTATAGGGGAATGGTGGAAACAAGCTGTAGCCAAGAGTGAAGGGAGCAGAGAGTGATGGTAGGTATATGTGGCTGAAAATGATCACTGAAGTGTAGTGAGCTGGGATCATGGAGGGATTTGAAGGTGAATTTGATGTACTGGTGAATTTGATGTACTGGTGAATTATCCATAAAACACAGACGCCAGCATGAAATAGCACATGTGAGGGTGTATTCTGGTTAAGCTGAAGTTTGTGGACAGCAGAAGCCTAAAACTGGAAAAAAAAATTCAAAGTCTGTATTCATAGCGTTTCTATCTCAGCTGTAGCATCGGAGAGGGAGAAGGAGAACAAGACAAAGAAGAAAAAGACAGGTGTGATGGTGGAACAACACTTTACATTTATATGGTGCCTATAATATAATATAAAGTGCCAAAGGACGCTACAGAAACAAAGTTTGTCACTAAGCTACATAAACAGATATTAGGGCAGATGATCAAAATCTTGAAGCAAAATGTAGGATTTAAGCATTATCTTAATATTAGAGAACTAGAGAGATGGAGAGGTTTAGGAATGGTGTTCTAAGGTTTAAGATCTAGGCACCTCTAGTGGAGCAATTAAATTATGGAGCAATTAAAATCAAGAATCATAATTAGTGAATATAGAGATCTCAGAAAGAGGAGATTACAAAGTTAGGGAAAGAAATTCTATGCAAGGGATTTGGGAATAAGAACAAAAATTATAAATATGAAGTGTTGCTTAACCAGGAGCCAAATGTGGTACGAACAAGGTATGAGCAAATGGGGCTCGACAAACATGAGAACAGACAGAGTTTGAGATGACCTTGAGTTTATAAGGGTGAAACATTACAGGCTTACCATCAATGTGTTGGAATAATCAAGTCTGGAAGTAAGAAAAGGTATGGATGTGGCTTTTGGCAAGCAGGTACAAGGTTGGGCTGTTATAGTAATTGATGTAGATGGTCTTGGTGATGCCACTGATTAATTTAAAAGCATTTCTTGGAATCAAATATGACACCAAGGTTGTATACAATCTGGGTCAGCTTCACACGCATGCCTGCAAGGGGGTTGGAGTCATTGGCTATATAGAGGAGTTTGTATCACAGATTGAAAATAAGGCTTTGGTGAGGATGGAGACACGGAAGAAAACAAGAAAGTGGTGGGAAGTGAGAAATAGAAGTGAGGAAGGAAAGAAAGAAGAAACGAAGTGAAGGAGAGATTACAGTCCTGAGACTGCCGACTCAGGAAAATACCTCAATGCTAACTGCTTTCTGCTTAGACAATCTAGGGTCAGATACAATAAAGAGCTTATGACCTACAGACATTGTCAGAAATTCCTCCTCTAAGACAAGCTTCTGAGTGTAGCTGGTGAGAGGCTGTACTTCTATTTCTTCTAAAACACTTAGCCCAACATTTCTTATTGTGCAGGAACCGCACTCAAAATAGAGGGTAGTTTTTCTGCAGTTTTTGGCTTTACACAGAAGCATGGGAGTTTCGAATGCCCAACTTGTGAATACCTCAAGATACTGGAAAATTGAGCAGAAAAAGAACTTAGAAACTGATAGAAGTTAGACATTTCTACATGTAATTGTTATTAATTATCTGAATTGCAACAAATATATAGTAGGTTGAAATTGAATCATAGAATTTCCACAGTGTGGAAGCAGGCCATTTGGACCATCGAGTTTACACTAACTCTCTGAAGAGCATCCCACCCAGACCCAGCTCATATACCCCGTAACCCTGCATTTTCCATGGCTAATCCATCTAGCCTGCACATCCCTGGACTCTATGGGCAATTTAGCCTGGCAAATCCAACTAACCTGCACATCTTTGGACTGTAGGAGGAAACCGGAGTACCTGGAAGAAACCCACGCAGACACGGGGAGAATGTGCAAACTCCACACAGGCCGGTCACCCAAGGCTGGGATGTAGTCCGGGTTCCTTGGTGCTGTGAGGCAGCAGTGCTAACCACTGAGCCACTATGCTGCAATGCAACTGGGGGACAGGAGGCCCAAGAAGGGTCTAAGCAGCTGATGACATTGTAACAGAACATGTTTTTTGATTTTAGCAGAAATAGAAGAGAGTGGAAATCAACACGGAATTGACGATGTGGCTCCTGTCGTCACTCCATTTTCCAGTTTAAATACTCTCTTGAGACTAGGTGCTGGGTGGGATGTTATGAGAGTAACTAGACATTCACTTTACATGCACTGTCGCTGGCACCACCCCTCAACCAGTGTTGTCTTACCCCAGCACAGAACAGATTTGTTGACTTGATCACCACAGGCACATAGCAACATTGCAGCAAACCTGCTTCGGGTACTGTCGGCTAACAAAGGAGTGTTAGCTGGATCCTGGGAAAGACTCCCCTGACCTTACTCCAGCATCATGTGATTGTTATGTTTATCCGAGAGCACAAATGGAAACTCAGCTTAATTTTTATCTTCAAGACAACATCTTTGACAATCCAGCATTCACTTTGGACTGCACCAAGAGCGTCAGCCTGGATTAGATGTTCATGTCCTGGGGTGGGGCACGATCCCATAACATGAACAGTGCATTCAAGATCGCAACAAGTTGCTGTGTTAAACAAAATCCACATTTTTTTCCCCTTCTTGATCAGTTCTTTGACCATTTAGCTTAACTTCAATCCTTGTTAACACAAAATTAACTTTTCTCTACAAGATTTGCAGCAGAAAGACCATATTTCAGAGAACATCCAAATATCAACAAGGGACCTCTTGACAGTGAGGAGAGACCAGGAAGGAGGCAGCTGAAAGAAGACTCAACCCAAAACATGGGCTCGCACTGTTCACTCCTGCAATCCGTGCACTACTAATCCTTGAAATCTCTGCACTATTGACTGCCAGAGTCTCTCCTGGCTATCTCCTATGGAATTAGAGATTCTAACAGATCAGAGTTTACACTCTTTGTCAAAAAAGCTCCTCGGTTTAGATTCATTTTGTGGACTTTAAACAATTAGGTCTGCACTGCTGTAATCCTAAATGTCTGAAATCCAGAATCCACACCATTTCAAAGTGGAAAAGGATCATTGTGCCTTTGGAACAAAAGCAGAAGTTTCTGGAAAAGCTCAGCAGATCTGGCAGCATCTGTGAAGAAGACATCACAGTTAATGTTTTGGGTCTGGTGACCCTTCCTCAGAATTGATGGTAGCGAGGAAAACGTTGGTTTATATGCAGGAGATAGGGAGAGGCTGAAGGTAGGGAGTAAATGGTAGGTGGGAATAGAGGCCAGAGAGAGAAGAGCAGTTGGACAGACAAAAGAGTGGATAATGATCTGGATAGGAGAGTGAGTAGCTGTTAAAGGGGACTGTTAATGACTAACAATAGGTAGTGGTAATAGCAGGCTATATGATAACAAGGCCTGGTGTGTGGGGTAGGGGTCTAGGACATAGGAGAGTTTAGGCCCTAAAATTATTGAACTTGATATTGAGTCCGGAGGGCTGCAGGGTCCCCAAGTGGAAAATGAGATGTTGTTCTTCCAGCTTGCGCTGAGCTTTACTGGAAGACTGCAGCAAGCCTGAGAAAAAGATGTTGGCCAGGGAACAGGGTGGTGTGTTAAAGTGGCAGGCAACTGGAAACTCAGGGTCTTTTCTTTGAGCAGAATGTAGATGTTCTGCGAAGTGATCACCCAGTCTATGCTTTACTCCTTACCCCCTCTCCCTCCCTATCTTCTGCATATAAACTGCCATTTTCCGAGCTACAATCAATTCTGAGGTGGGGTCACTGGACATGAAACATTAACTCTGATATTTTCTTCACAGACGCTGCCAGACCTGCTGAGCTTTTCCAGCAACTTCTGTTTTTGTTCCTGGTTTACAGCATTTGTAGTTCTTTTGGATTTTATTGTGCCCTTGGACATTCGCTTGCAGCAAACAGGATTCCCATCTGAAATATTAAATTGATCCTCACCCTAATCCATAGCTAAACATTTCTGCACTAAGGTATGGTACCAATGTGTTATAACCACATTACCAACTTAAAATGGGCAGCTTTTGTTGAGGCAATACCCACGAAAAGAGACTGGATCAGTTAGGAATATTTTCAATGGAATTTAGATCAATAAGGGAATGTGTCACAGATATCTAAAAAATTCTAGCAGGACCAGACAAGGTAAATGCAGGAAGGATTTTGCTGATGACCAGGGAGTCCAGAACCAGGGGTCACAGTATAAGAATAAAAAATGTAGCCTTTTGAGACTGAGATGAAGAGAAATTTCGTCACCCAGAGTGGCGAACCTGTGGAAATCTCTGCCACAGAAAGTGGTTCAGACAAAAACATTTGAATGTTTTCAAGAAGATGATAGATATTGTTCTTGGGACTAAACGGATCAAAGGCTGTGGGGCAAAAGTGGGAACAGGGTACTAGTTGGAGGATCAGCCATGATTAGATTGCACAGCAGGCTTGAAGGGCTGAATGGCCTATTTTTGCACCTATTTTCAATGTTTCTATACAACGTATACATTCCTTCGTGACTCAGATAGAGTTCATACATGCACATTACTCTGGGCAC